TTACTGCTTGTGTGTGTCATTACAAAACAGCTCTACAACCGGATTGAAGCAACCTCACATAATATAAGAGTCGAATGTCACAGAAAGAGCAAAATAATCTGATTGATATGAAAGAAAATTGTAGCATAGCATGTGTAAGACTATAGGATTACGAACTACGACAGGCTGAGCATGGTCAAATCGTTTTGATTCTGGATCATGGAGAGATCGAGCAGACGGTGGGGTAATTGTCGTCCTCAAGAGTTCGGTTCTGGCCGAACTGTTCACACGCAGAGCGCGTTAAACAGTTTCCGAGTGTATACAAAAAGTCGGACATGCAGAGGGTGTAGTGTTGTTAAACATGTTTCTTCTTATCCTGGCGCTGTTCGCCACTGCAGCGCTAGTTGCATCTTTTTTCATTTTGTTGGTTAGATCTACTTTAAACTAATCACGATTGATGTTTCGGGAGTTAGTACTCCTTTAGTGCATAAATTATGTACTGTAAGTTTGTAGAGTATCTTCACTTTCGCTGACTCTTGCGTGGTAGTGAACATCGCCCAGCTAGTATAAATCTGTTACCGTTTCGTGCGGTCATGCATCATCAGTGCTATTCGGTTCTGTTCGTTTTAGTAAGAACTTTGTGAACGTTAGGGAAATAAGGAAAGAGTAAATTTCCGCAACAAACACGTGCCAATCGTCAAGAGATTGAAATGTTGATTTCGCTGCTGTCAGATTTGGATCAAAGTATGGTATGCCAGAAGAAAGATTTTCCTCTCTGGATGGGTTGAAAAACAGTTCTTTCTGAATTTAGCTCGCCATAATCAACACTTTGACTTGAAAAGAAAAAGGTTTACAAGCTCCTTAGTCGAAATGTTTGAATTTCGATGAGTTTTTATATTTCGCAGTGATTCCGATGTTCATGCCAGTCTCATGAGTCGCAGTATTTCTGATAATTCAAAAATATTTCATTTTTTTTGTTTTGCTGCTTTCTAGTTTCTTATCAGTTAGTCAAATGTAATGACTTTGTTTCTTAAATCAGCTGAAATGGCAAGTAAACCTAGCACCCGCATATTTTTCAGCAATTACTGACTATTGGTGGAACTATACATGTGCTGCAGAAACTACAACAAAAAATGCACAATGAGGCAAAGAATAAAAGTAATGAAAATTGAACTGGTGAACAGAAAGTTCACGCTGATGAATATCGGAACGTACCAGCTAAACAAGGGCTGATTCTGGTAATGTATCGGAAATTTCAGAAATATATCAATTCCAGCTACAAATTTTCTGTTGCTTCAAATCTCCTATATGCAGGCATCTTCAAAGCGTTTTGAATGAATCATTCAAGTGTATGTTGATAGGGTGTTGTGTAGGGGACTGATAAGATCGTTTAAAATAGATTTAGCTAGCTTTACAATAGATCTTCTGATCAAATCGATCACCTCGTCTACGAAATTCATATAGGACAACTGACCTATTCTGCCGACAGTTTAAAACTGATCGAAATTTGCTTAGATTCATTTTACGAAGGAGCAAAATTATACCAGTTAAAATTGTACGAAATCAGGAGATTTTAATGAGCAGTTTCCTTATTTTCTGGCAGTTCTAGTAAAATTACAAATAATATTTAATCTTTCAGGAAATCTTGAGGCGAATATTCAGAAATTTCTTGAAAACGCCCAAGAGCGTGCGTCGAAAATGGAACTGGACATCTGTCGGCAAATCCGTGACAGGTTCACCAGTCGCTGCCCGTATTGGCTGAAAGAAATCGATGGGTCCGTTTCCAAAGTCGAGGTCGCGGTGTCAAAAACCGATGAGGATATCTCGTCGCTTCAGGCTATGGTATCGTACCACTGTTAAACCTGTAGGTGCACCGACGGATCGCTTAATAACCGAGTTCTCCTCTACAGGAACAGCCGTGCGACAAAGTACAATTTTAAATTGAGGGTGAAACAACGTTGGCTAGCAGTTCCTGCGTCTTAATGTTGAACAGGCGGATTTTCTCAACAAGCAGCCTGAAGCTGTGTGTATTCACCATACGTGACAGTGTTTAATTATTAGTGATATATGCCACTCTTGTTTCAGCCTGCTATGGAAATGAATGTCAAATTTTGGCACTGTATTTACTCTGGGTTTTTAGTATCCCACTATTTTGGTCGCAGAAGGCACTTTTCTGTTCATTTTCTTTATGTTTTACATCCGGGTGGAAGATAGACCTGCGTTTATGGTAAAAGAACACGTTGAGACATCATTTCATCATTCCGTCTATCACTATCGGAGTGAATCCGTCTATCACTATCACACACACGGAGTGAATCCGTCTATCACTATCACTATCACACCGTCTATCACTATCACACACATCACTGTCAGAGTGAAAAATAACTACTCACTGACTGGATGGACGAAAATCTGATAGAAGCAGAATGGTTGATATTAAATAAGGAAAAGTAAAATTTGTTACTCCGTTTTGATAGTCAGGACCATACAAAGGTGATTCTTCTCATCATCACCATGTCTCATCGGTGTAGCAGTCACCATATTTTTATCACCAGTGTTATCGTACTGTTGTTATTGTTAGTATCTTTACTATCATAATTATTTTCATTATCACTCATATATGGTTATGATCGTCATCGTTATTGTTATACTCCACGTTATCATTACCATGAGCGTTATTATCATTGCTGTTGTATCATTCTCACTGCCACTGCCATCAGCCGCAGTGAGGAATGGCTGTGCGATATGAAGTTACTCTAGCGGTGGGAAAAGAAATCTGCCATTACCAGTTTGGTTTAAGTGAGCAGAGATCATGAATCCAGAGTAGCCTACAATTTTCAAGCCGGCTGAGAACCGTTATTACAAATTATTATCCTCCTTTCTCATTTCTGTAATCATGGTCTTCTTATCACTAGCATTATCACAGTGTTGTGGTAATGATGCTTAATCGTTATCACTGCCATCACG